TATTTCAAAAGTCAAAAGGAAAAATATGCCAAAAACATACATGGGAGAAAAGACAGCATCTCCAACAAATGGTGCTGGGAAAACTGCGTATCTATATGTAGAAAAATGAAACTACATCCTTTATCTCAAACTAATGAAACATGAAGTTCTCAAAATAAATAAATTATATATATATATATATATTTCAAAAGGAAAAATATGCCAAAAACATACATGGGAGAAAAGACAGCATCTCCAACAAATGGTGCTGGGAAAACTGCGTATCTATATGTAGAAAAATGAAACTACATCCTTTATCTCAAACCTGAAACTAATGAAACAAGAGTTTGAAAAAGGAAAAATAGAGGAAAAAATGAATATACTTGAAAATGTATGCATAAGTACTTTCTGAATAGGACTCTACTCCAAAAAAAAAAAAAGAGAGAGAAAGAAATACAAATGGGTAACAAGCATTTTAAAGTGTGCAGTATCATTAGTCATCAAAAAAAAAAAAAGCAAATTAAAACTAGTTTGAAACTCAATCACATCCCAGCCAGAATGGTCATCATCAAGAAAAAAAAAGTGTCTGCAATATAGAACAAACCAAACTAACAACAGTGGAATGATTAAATCAATACAAAATGAGGTGATACACAAATGATGGTGCATGGATTGCATGAGAAGACACTGGGACTCACAGAAGATTCATCACCATGAGCAAAAAGCAACTAAGTATTCATGAAAAGTTATTGATTAAAATAATAACTAAATGGTTACTTCTTTAAATTATGTATCTATTACTAAAGTAAACATTATGCATTTGGCCCCTAATAAACCCAGAAAAATTTTCTTTAAAAGAAAACAAACGTCAACAAAAACTGGGAAAGGGGAACATTTATCCAGTGTTTATAGGAGTATAAACTGGAGTATAAACTGGTACCACCATTATAGTAGCGTGTGGGTTTCTCACAAAGCTAGAAGTAGAACCACCATATGGTCCAATATACTACCCCTGGGCACATATCCAAAGGATTCCATATCCTCATTCATGTCATTTCTGCTCTATCCACAACAGCTAGGAAATGGAATCAATTTAAGATGTCTACCAACGGATAAATGGATAATGAAAATGTGGTACATGTAACACAATGGGATTTCATTCAGCTGTAAAGGAAAATGAAATTTTCAGGAAAATGGATGGACTAGGAAAATATACTAAGTAAGGAAAGCCAGGCCTAGAAATAAACACTGCATGTTCTCTCCCATGTGCAGATCCTAGCTTTGAATTTTTAGATTTGTTTCCACAACTGGGAATATGTATAGAGCTCAGAAAGCTAGAAAGGACACACGAGATGCGAAAGTGGAAGAGGTCTTAAGGGGAGAGGGGATATTAAAACATGTATGATATGAAAGGAGAGGATACTGAGGGTTAACAGGTTTAAGAAGGGATGGAGGCAAGGAGACATGGTGGGGGGGGGTCAACAAAACTAAGGATATATGAAAAACCCTTATAGAAACCCACTACTTTGTAAACTAATTTAAAAATGTAATTTTAAGAATTTAAAAAGGAGTTTGAACAGAGGTACCCTACATAGGCCAACAATACCTCCTCCAAAAGATATGGGTTATTAAATGAAAATCTCAGTGTCAGGCATGAGGCACCTCCCTACAAGTCACTGGCTAGGGAGGCCCCAGAGGTACCCAAAACAACACAGGTTATTTTCACTGCTCTTCGTTACCCAAAAGAACTAAGGTGGTAAGGCCCTACTCCTGAAGACACAAAACACTTTGGATGCGGGATATAAAGAAATCAAGCTGCAACTGACCTAAAAACTTCCTTCTTCCTGGATAGCTTTGATAGTGCCAGAAGGAGCTACATATGCTGCTGGGGGAAGAAGAGCCATCAACAGTATTACTCAGCAGTGAACCATGCTCACTACAACAGATCTACCAAGCGAGATGTGTCCACTGGTGGAACAGGGCACAAAAGTTATGGGGGGAACCAATGATGTTTTAATTGGGTTTAAAGACTACTCCACAGGTAAGAATTCATGCCTTATGTAATAAGCCTGGCCAAAAGCCCATTATTAGGGAAACCATAGGTTCTAGGGGAAAACTTACAACTGTTGTCTTGCTAAATGTACATGTTGAGTCATGCCTTACAAGCATGAGGAACTGAGTTCAATTACTCAGAACCCATATATAAAAACACAAGCACACGAAGTTGGTGCCGGGCTCTCACCAGACACTGGCTGGAGCCGCTCACCTCTGATACCTGGAGCGGCAGTGCTGAGAAGCGGTCACCATGCCTTTGGCTAGAGATTTACATCTGTCCTCGGAAGAGGAAAAGAAAAAACAAAAATAAATGGCTAGTTCAAAGCCCAAATTCTTATTTCATGGATGTAAAATGTCCAGGTTGCTACAAGATTACTACGGTTTTCAGCCATGCTCAGACAGTGGTTCTTTGTGTAGGCTGTTCAACAGTGTTGTGCCAGCCTACAGGAAAGGCCAGACTCACAGAAGGCTGTTCATTTAGAAGAAAGCAACACTAATGATCTCTACAACTTCCTGTGTTTGTGTTTTCTCACAGAAGGCTTAAGTTCAGTTACTCTACCAAGACTATATCATTATGTTTGATTTTCTGAGCTATAAACAATAATCTCCTATTTTGGTGTCAATTTTTCAATAGTTTTAATTATGGAAAAAAAATACAAGCACGATAGGGCATACTTTTAATCCCTGCACCAGGTAGGCAGAGACAGGCAAATGCCTCAGGCTCACTTAACGCAGGCCAGTAAGAGATTCTAAGTCAAGACAAGATGGACGGCACCTGAGAAAAGACACGAAGGCTGTTGTCTGGCTTCCACACGCACATGAACACTGAGCGCATGCACGCGCACGCACGCGCACACACATGTGTATGCACACACAGGAAAATACATACACACACAGGAACAAAAGACATTTAAAAATATTCTGAAAATGTCAAACAACGCCACCATTTTCACTAAACTATTTTGTTGAGGAAAATAAAGCTACTTCCATAATGTACTTTCATGTTAAATATTTTTATGTTAATAAAAATGTTAACATAAATAAATTTTTTATGTGAAACTGAAAAAAAAAAAGATTCACCCACTCCCTAAAACTCCCTTAGGGACAGAGGTACAAAGAACAGCAATGTTCACAAGCTTAAATAAGCAGAACCTTTTGTCCTCATACAGACAAAGCACACCATCCACTCCCAACCGTTTATAATTCTGCATGTAACTTTAAAGCTGGCTGGAGGGCAATCCTAACTAGTACCATCAAGTGACAAGCAAGTCCCAGCTGGCTCCACCAGCAAAGACCTATTTAGTATGCAAAATTTACTTAATTTGAATGTATTTCATTGTCTAATATGCAAGAATGTTAAGTTTCTAGACTAAACTGGACAACTATAAATGGCAAATACTACTAATCAAAGAAAACTGCAAAGACAAATTTCAACACAAAGTAACATGGAACAGTGTAAACACAAAAAACAAAAACGATATTAAATATCATTCAGAATCCTTGCTATATTAAGAGAACTCTGAATTCATATAAAGGTAATCTAAAATTTTTCATAGACTACAAATGAGGCAGTTTCTGGGCGAACTGTTGAAGGCCTGTGAGGGGCACAATGAGGGTTTCTTATCCTATACTTCTTAATGTCATATGTTTACATTTTTTACACTAAAAATAAAAAATTATAATACTTTCTGACAAATTTAATCCTCATATCCTAAAAACAAAGAAAGACTAATACTACCTTCCAGTCTTTGAATTTTTCCTTTCACAGAAATAACAGTTTCAAAGGGCGAAACTCTTAGTTCAAAACATGTTCCAGTCAGTGTTTCAATGAAGAGCTCCATGGTATCATAGAAAGGAAGTTTGAAGTAAAATGGTCCCACGTTATCTTCGTTCAAGAACGGAGGCTCTTTTCTCCTCTGGAATACGCTGTATGCAACTGTATTCCAGTTCTACCCAAATCAACTTTGAACATCCATAATATGTATCATTGTTCATGTTTGAGATTTGTACCTAAAAAGCAAAACAAAACAAAACAAAATTAAAAAAAATCTATTTGAAAGTCTTCTCTTTATAAGGATTTTCTGAATAACTCTGGTTCATACTAATCTACCAGACAATCCCACAATTTCTTTCACTGTGTTTAGTTATGTCTAATAGTGAACTTCTCATGCTTGCCTCTAACCTCACTCTCCAAAATAGATGATACTTTAAGAATGTGAAGACTTTTGATAATTTAACATAGCTTACTAGGTCTTAGCATTGCCACTAATAAATAACATATGGTCAACATATTTTTTCTAAGAACATTTAAATGACTGCTACATATCACTATCGTTTTACAGGACTTTCCACATGTGCAAATATCCTTTTCTAAAATACATGTCTTTTAAACCATATAAAACCTTATAGTCATTGTACTTAGTTACAATGACTGTGACTAAAAAAAAAATGACAGACAGGGGCTGGAGAGATAGTTCAGCAGTTAAGAACACTGAATGTTCTTGCAGAAGACCCGGGTTTGAATCCCAGCACCCACATGGCAGCAAACAACTGTCCGTAACTCCAGTTCCAGGGGATCCGACAGCCTCTTCTGTCCTCCGGGGGCATTACATGACATGGGTGCACTTACCTATGTGCAGGCAATACATGCACACACATAAAAATAATAAATAAAATATTCAAAAAAAATTGACAGACACCTTAACAGATTCCTTAACAACATGGCTCACTAAATAGCCAATGAGTATTTGGGTTTCCAGAGAATGTCGAGCATTATAATATTAAAATGAGGCAATACTACTAATATACTCACTAGACAATCTCCCCACACACACATACTCACAATGGCCAGTGAGTATAGAGACAAACACTACGAACAGAAGCAGTAAGGTAAATTAACAGGGTGGAACTAGCAGCAAGGGGAGGATCCAATTGATGAACTGCCATTATTTCATGAAAATTTTCTAAATGGGGACCTTCAACTTAAACTATACAAATAAATATTTTTCAGCAGAGATGAGGAAATCTTTTTGTTGAGATAGAATTCACATACTATAAATTCACTCGTTTTTAGCACTACAAGTGTGTAACCACCATCAGGATCTCCTTTTTTGTGGGTGATGGGGACTGTGTTGAGCCACAGCCACTCATACTTTTGGAACATTTTCATCAGCCACAGAGAGAGCTCCATACCTGACAGCCACCACGCTCAAATCCTCCCCCCCCCCATGCTGCTCCTCAGCCCCAAACCACCACTATTCTACTTTCTCTATAGTCTGCTTATGCTGGGCATTTCACACAGATAAAATGATATAATATATGATGTTTTGTGACTCTTTCACCTAGCATAAAGTTTTCAAAGTTCATCCATCCATCAATACATTATTCTTTTGGTGGCTGAATAGTTGTCCGCTGTACGTACATATCATGTCACCTTTCCATTCTTTAGTTGATGGTGTCTGGACTGTTTCCCACTTGGAGCTAATACAAATAATGCTATACTGAACAATCAACTATTCTGTGGACACGTTTTCCTTTCTTGTTGATACAGATCTAGAAGTAGGTTTGCTAGGTTACATGACAACTGTATTAAGCAAGTTGTAGAACTATTAACTGCTTTCCAAAATGGCTAGAACCATTTCACAGTAACACTAACCATAAATGCGGGTGCCAATTCCTCAACATTTTGCCAGTAGTTTTTGTTATCTTTTTGGTTAAAGCTATCTTGGTGCATGTACATGGGTGTGATTTGCATTTCTCAAATGATTCTAAACACCTTTTGACTGTGATGCACTTTGGGCATCACCATTGGAGAAATATCTATTCACAACCTGTGCCTTGTCTTTATCCTGAGTTGAAGTTTAAAAAAAAAAAAAGACTCTAGATACATACCGCATACAGGATATACGACTGGCAAGTTTTTTCTCCTATTTTGTGAGTTGTTGTTGACTTTTCTTGATAGTATCTATTCAAATTCAAGTTCTCAATTTTAATTAAGCCCAATTGGGCTTTTTTTTTTTTTTTGTCACTCACAGTGACAGTTAGGTCACAGTTAAAAACTTTTACCTAACCTAAGGCAACAAATTCACACAACATTTTTTGCCTCTAAGAATTGCCGTTTTAACTAATACTTAGGTTTAGTACTCATTCTGAAAAGGAATCCAACTTTATTTTTTTGCATGGGAACAGCCAGTTATTCCAGGGTCATGCCTTGGAAAACTGACTGCAAAGGTGACATCTTTTTCCTGACTTGCATTTCACTGGTTTGTTTGTACTTACCTTTGCTTAGTTTTGATTATGGTAACTGCACTAAGTTTTGAATTTAGGAAATGTGCACCTTCTAACTTGTACTTTTCTTTAGAGTGTTGGCTATTCAGAGTGCTGGGATTAGAGGCATGTGCTACCACACCTAGCTCAGTTTTGTAGTTTTTTTAAGAGTACAAGTTGTATACTTTTCAGTTTATGCCTAAGTACTTTCTTCATTTTGGTGCCGCTAAAATGCAATTGTTTGTATCTTTTGCCTCACAGAATGAATTAGGAAGCATTTCCCAAAGATCAAACCTAGGGCCTGTGCAGTCTGGGCAAATGCTCTACCACTGAACTACATATTTCTAGCCCAAAATTAAACTTTTGAAAATATTATAAGAAAAGCCTCAGAGTGGGAGAAATATATCAATAAGCCCAGGTGAACAGAAAATTAGTACCATTATGAAAGTGTTAAGCATCAAAAGTAAATAAGTTTTAAATGTTTTCTTCCCAAAGGTTATGTGATATAGCAATTTCCATAGAAAGTTATTTACTATGGAAATTTGATCTCATCATGTAACCCAGGCTGGCTTTAAACTCACAACCCTGCTGCAGTTTCCCCAGTACTGGAACTGTAGGGTGTACTACCAGCTTAGATGTGTACTTAAGCATCTCAGGGCGGCCAAGGCATCTCAGGGCAACCAGTCCTGACAGTGAAAACTCGCATCTTTGTGTTCTGTCACTCTCTCTTGTTTACTGATTAGGACTTAGTTCAGGGCTTCGAAGACTCGCCGTGATCCCTGATTCCTACACTTCACCTTTCCTAACCACTCACTGGGTTTGTTGTTTGACTTCTGGATAACAAGCTTCTGAAAACTGGTTAAGGGTATTATTTTATCACACTGTTTAGTAACTACTTTCACTACCTGTATTTAAGCAGGGGAAGAAGCTCCACAACAAATCTGAGAAGAAATTATAGTTTCCATACACGATCTGTTGCATCCCAGCCTCCAGCGCTCTCCTACACTAGCACAGTACATTAGTTACATTAGTTAGAGAGGTGTCATTGTCAGCCAAGTTCCCAGACTGCATTAGGGTTTGTTTACTCTTGGTGGTGTACATCTTATGGGTTTGGGTAAATCTATAAACACATGTATTTACTACCATAGTATCAACATAGCTTCAGTAACTTAAAAACCCTGTAGGGTCTATGGACCCCTCCCCACCCCTCTAATTTTTGGCAACTCTTGATCTTTCAAACATCTCCATGGCTTTTCAGAATGCCACGTACTTGGAATCATACAACAGGCAGCCCTTGCAGACTGGCATCTCCCAGTTCTTTCATCCCATGTCATGACTTGATGGTTCATCTCCTTTAGGTACTAAACCTATATTCCACTGTTGGGATATATTATAGTTTTATTCATCCATTCTCCTTCTGACAGATATCTTGTATATCTTTGGCAGTTATGAACAAAACTGCTTTAGATGTTGTATACAGGTTTTGATCTCATTTAGGTTAGATTTTATGTAAGATTAGTTTTGAGTTTTTGTGTATATGTGTGTGTGCATTCAAGTGCATGTGTGTATGTGTGTCAAAGGTTGACATCAGATGTCTTCCTCTATCACTGGCCATTTTATTTTTTTGAAGCAGGGTCTCTCACTGAATCTGCAGCCCATCCATTTGAGATTGAGTGACTAGCAAGCCCTAGGGATCCTTCCTGGCTCAGTCTCCCCAGAACTAGGATTACAGGTGTATGCTGCTGTGTCTGGCTTTTTTACACCAATGCTGGGGTTCCAAAGTAAGGTCCTCATGCTTGCCACAGCAAGGAATTTACCAGCTGAGTCATCTCTCTAACCCAATTTATATTTAATTTTCTATTTTCTTTTTTGTTTTGTTTTTGTTTTGTTTTCTGTTATCGTTTTGGGGTTTTTTGGGGGGGGTGAGACAAGACTTTTTTGAGACAGGTGTAGCTCCAGTTGGCCAGTAACTATGCTATGTAGACTAGGCTAGCCTTGACCTCACACAAATTTGCCTGCCTCTGCCTCCCAAGTACTGGGACTAAAGGTGCATGCCACCACATCCAGGCTTAATTTCCCTTTAAAGAAGCTACCAAACAGTATTCAAAGTGGCTGAACCATTTTGCATTCCCAGGAGCAATGAATGAAGAGTTCCGGCAACTCCGCATCCTCACATCACCTTTTGCTGTCCTTGTTCCAGGTTTGGGTCTTCTCAAGCCGTCACAGAATCATATCTCAGTGCTGCTTTAATTGGCAGTTCCCCAACAGCATATGTTGTGAAGCACAGCTATGCTTTGAAACTGTAGAATGGATCCTATTATTCCAGATCAAGGCCCTATGACAGTTTCCACCTGTCTATACAGTAACATGCAAACTCCCTAGACAGGCTCAAGTCCCACATCTCATCTTACAGCCCATTTTCACTTATCCATGCACCTCACCTAAGACCCTGGGCTATTCTATCTTCTAGTTGTACCCTGTGTTGCTGCTTCTGCTTTGCTCTACTCGGTTCATGCCCACACAAAGCTTCCCAAGAAGCGTCTAACCATCTTTCAAAACTCTGCTGAACAGGATGGAGACACACCTCACTGAAGAGGGCTTGCCTAAAATTCAAGAGGCCCAGGCCTCAATAACCAGCACCTCCTCCCTCCCAAGCTCAAATATCAACTATCCCATAAAACCTTTTATGCTTACTCTTGCACCCATGTCACATATGGCACACACTGCTTACACACCTGTCACTCATGTGCTATTAAACTACAAGAGCCAGATGACATAGGATTTTTTTCTCTATCACTTAGCACAGCATTTTGCACACATTACTACTGATTAAAGTACTAGTGTTCAATGAAATTCAACTAAAAACAAGTCACTTTATTGATCCTTGGATGACATTATTTATGTACAGGTAATATCACTGTCAGAGAAATGAAGAAACAGTGGCTATATTCCCAAAATTGTTTGGAGGAATATTGGTTTCCTCTGAATCACATTCTGATTCTAACTAATGTCAAACACGTTCACACAGGCATTACTGCTATAGTGGGAGTTTTCATAATTCTAATACAAAATATAATCAGGAAATCTGAACTGCACTGTGCAGATTGCTAAAGTTCCTTTAAAAAGGCATCATGGGAAAAGTTGCTGCACTGTTTTGAGTATAGTTATACAACTTAACAAAATAATGAGCAACAAATTTATTAATGCAAAGTACTGTGATACTCACACTTGGTAACAGCAGCAAGTATACTTTACTGTATAGAGCTGTACTGCTCAGTCTTCATCACATAGCCTTCTATCTTTTACAGTGATATGGGTTGGGAAGGTAGCCTGATGATAGAGCACCTGCCTAGCATGAGTTAGGCCCTGAGTTCAATTCCCAGCTTCACTAACACAATTACAGTGAAATGACCACAGGTAACATGCAGAGTCTTTAAAACACTCTTCTCAAGCTATAGAAAGAGCTCGCTACAGAACTCTAGAGTCTTGCTTCATCCTACGGAGACAGTTCTGTCAACAGAAGCTACATGCTAGGTAGCTGAAATGAACGCCACAGAAACAAAGGCTCAAGGGAACAGTGCCTACCCAGAGAATCTGGGGGCAGAGGTCCTAAGGTGCATTTCCTGCAGGGTGCTTTTCTATTTGAATACCCTGAAACAATGAACAAGCTGGGGAAGAGTAGAACGTGGAAAAGTTCATCTGTAATAAAACTGGATAACGGGACTACGGGAGAGGGGGAAAACGGCACTGCAATAAGTTAGTTAAGTACCCCATTAGTGGTGCTAGAACGTCCAAGTAAGTTCGGGCCCCGTCAACAGAGCAATATTGGTTCAATATTCCAAAAAGCGTCAAGGGAGGTAACCATAACTGAAACTGTCTGTAAATAAGTCAAAACTTCTGAGCAACGGAAACCAACGTAGCAGAAGACAGAATGAGGCGGTGCAGCCAGGATAAACCAGACTGGAGAAAACAGACGCTTCTGTGGGCCAAGGACTTTACCCGTACTTAACCAGTCGGGGTCTACCGAGAAAGGCTGGAGACCTCGTCTAAGCGGCACGTGGTCCGCTTGAGCGATCACAAGAGGTTGGAAAAGAAACGAGGGGCAATGAAAACGTACAAAGGCTAGTGTGAAATGACGTCAGAGAAAGGACGCTTCAGATTTTAAGAAAAAAGGAAAAAAAGCTATCATTTTGAAACGACTCCCCAACACTTGTCATCCTTTCTGGAGAGAAAAAAAAAAAAAAAGCTGTAAGACCACAACCACCCACACTGGCAGAAGCAAGTACCGGCGCCCAATAGGTCAGTAACTTCTGGAATTTGCTTCTTTTCCTTCCTGACGTAACTACAGGAAGTTCACTTTACAACTTTTCGCCCACCTAAGTACGCCCGCGTATGAGGCAGCCCTTTAAAGCGCTGCCTCGTCTACAGTGACAGGCTGGCTACACACGACGGGTGGGTGTCGCCGGTGCAGCGGTCACCTGGGCAGGGGCCGCTCTCGGACCCCGTGCAGCTCCGACCGGCGCGCGGCGTCTGGAAGGATGGAGACCGAGGCTGGAGCAGGCCGGGTACGCAGGGAGCGCCGCTCGCAGAGCGACCGCGGCCGCCGCCTGCCCTGCCCCGCTCCCCGGGGCCCCCGCCCGCCGCCGCCGCCCCCTCACCCGCGGCGGTGGTCGCTCCTGCCCACGCTCACGCCCACCAGCAGGCCGACGGCGGTGAGCGTGCTCACCCGCGCCGCCGCGGCCCACGACTCGCCCCGCCCTTTGTGACACCGCTCGCCAGTTGCCAGCCAGCGCCGCTGTCGCCGTCCAATCAACGCGGAGGGGCGGAGTCCGAACGTCGGCCTCCCGCGGTTGCTCGGACGCTGGGTCCCTGGGGCGTTCAGTAAGGCTTGTTGGTTGAAAGAGGCCCGGATGTTGGCCCTGTATTACTAACAACAGTGGCCACCTGACTGGACCCGCAGCAGGCTGGAGCCGGGCCACTCGGCCTACTGGAAAGCGCGGGCGCCAGGGTAGACGGCTTGGCTGGGGCGCGCCCAGGCTAGCCCGGCTTGAACACGACCCTTCTGGTGCTTCATTCTGTAACATCGCAGACCTCAATTGTATCGTCCTGTAAAATGGGGGCATTCTTAAGCCTGGCTAAAAATAAGGGTGGATGACTTTATGCAGGTCTCATGCATTATAGGACCAAATAGTAGAGCCAGTACCCGGGCTGGAAATCCCGGCCGTCCTTGTCCTGTGCACCAATTTCCAAACTGCTAAAGTGGGGTATAAACTAGCTGGTGTCAGGACAACCGTCCTTCCACCTTCCTTGCACCCCTAAGGCTTCATTTCCTTCGCTAGTGGTTCCAACCCATCACACAAACACATCTTTAACTTTTGACTCAAGACTAGTCTGGGACGAATTCCTAGCCTATGCCAGGTATGCCAATCCCCTGGGCTTTTTGTCAGCCTCTTGCTGCTGGCTGTTAATTTATGATTAATGCCAGCAGCTTGAAACTCCTTGTACACAGAGCTTAAAATATTTTTTTAGTATTTTACTTTTTATTTTATGTGTATGCGTGTATTGCCTGCATGTAGGTAAGTGCACCCGGGTTGTGCAATGCCCACAGAGGTCAGAAGAGGCTGTTGAATCCCCTGGGACTGGAATTAAGAACAGCTGTTAACTGTCATGTGGGTGCTGGGATTCAAACCCAGGTCTTCTGCAAGAACAGCCAGTGTTCTTAACCGCTGAGCCATCTCTCCAGCCCCAAGCTTAAAATATTAAAATGAGTTATGTTTGAGGAAGAAGCATAAAAATTTGCTCCATGTTAATTAGAAGTGAAACAATTACCATTGAAATCTGATGATTTTATATACATGCTTAGGTGAATCTCAGAAAGTAACCGACTATGACTAATAATAATCAGATAGAGATTAGAGATGCATGTGCAAACATCCAAGTGTAGGTAGCATTAAAAATGAGTTTTTCTGTATGAAACAATATATTTTAAAATGAAATGGAGATCTTTTTTAAAGGTCAAAACTTCATTCAATTTTATGTCTTATATCAATATTGTATAACTGTATTAATTCAACTGTGAACCTAAAAATTTACAACCAATATTGAAAGAGATGCATCTTTGCTCTGGAAATTGTTATCGAACATGTTAATGCTGTAATGAAATGCTTCTTCTACTTATGTGGTTATTAAATTTTTAAAAAATATTGTCTGTGATAGGAGTGTTGATTACAAATGACACCATGGACTGTGGCATCCAATAGGTGAGTTTAAATGCTTGGTTTCCACTTTAAAGCTTCATTGTCTCACCAAGTCATATCATCATCGCCTACTGTTCTAAGTGGCAGATAGATGAAAGGGTCTTTGCATATTATCCAATAATGCTGCAAGGTTGGTACTGAAACCATTTACAACGGAGGGGAAGGTAAAAAAAATTGCCTATAACTAAACAGCTGTAGATGGGAAAAGCCACATATGAATCTCAGGAAAAATTCAGTATTCCAGTCTAGAGTTAAGCCTCACATATAACATTGCCTATCTGGTAGGTTACAGAGAACAAGTAACATGAAAAAGTGCCTGTCGCAGGGCATGGTGGTGCTTCTTTAATCCTAGCACTCGGGAGGCAGAGGCAAGTGGACCTCTGTGAGTTCAAGGCCAGTCTGGTCTACACAGTGAGTTCCAGGACAGCTGGGGCCTACAGGGAGACCCTGTCTCAAAAAGACCAAAAAAAGTGCCTGTCATAAGTATTTTGACATTAAGTGCCCTTCTCCCTTTCAAACTTCTGGGTGGGGGCGGGGGGGGGAGGCAATACACATTATTTCTAACTCTTCTGTCTCTGAAATCCCCTAGAACCAATCCTAATGACTGACGAGTAGATCTGATGGCTCCAAAACAAAAAGGGAAATTGTATCAAGTGCTACATGTGGCTTGGGCTCAGAGCAGGAAGCTAAATATCCAATTCAGCCAGAGTAAGAAAGAATAGAAGGGCCAAAAGAGGTAGGGAGGAGCGGCCTCTTCTGCTCTTGGGTCATACAGCAGAGCCCTGTGGAAACCACACAAAACCATGAGCTCTGGATATTGAGTACTTCCATTCTGATCCTAAGAACTTAATGGCTTCAGGATTTTGGAAGCCAATTAGTTTGGCCTACAAGATTCTGCCACATTTATAAACCAAATACTGTGCAATTTGAGGGCACAGCACAGGAAAACGTAATGAGGATAGAGTGAATTAATCATGTGGCTAGCAGCTACTGCCCTGGATATGAGATAATGTGGTGTCAGTGCTGCGTCTCCGGGCTGTGCTGTCCCTGAAGGCTGACATGTCCATCCCAAGCACTTTTACTTTTCTGACTCATTCTGCTGCAAAGCTCTGAGAATGGAAATGGATGCCTTAGAGCAAGAAGAGTTAGCCAACTGTTGCTAGAAAAGGAGACAGAAAGCATCTGACATTGCAGTTGGCTACAGATACCAGAGAAATGATGGCTGTAGCTGTGTTCCAATAAAACTTTATTTACAGAATGAGACACAGTGGAGGACGATACCTTGCAGAGGCATCTTAGGAAGTTGTTGGAAGTCTCTTCTCACAGGCTTAGAATCATAAAACTCTAATCTCTCACCTGCTCTTTCTTTCACCTGCCTAGGCCCTGACCACACTAAGGACTCCCGCTGACCTAACAAAGATCATCTGCCTGGCATTTGCCAACTTGGCTTCCCTCCCCATATATGAAAGCCACAAATAGATTTCGTCTCTAACATGCCCTGTGAGCCATTTGTTTTTGTTTTGTAATATTAAGCATAATTAAAATCAGTGCAGAAAAATTAGGGTAAAACATGAACTATGTATTTCATGTTTACTTTCTGGAATCCCATTAAGACAATGAGCCTAAGAAGACAGCATCACTAACTTAAAGATGCAGCTGATATGTGAAGCATGGAGACCCTGTGCATTACTGGCTTCCAAAGGCATTCAGGGGGTCATCAAAAATGTTGGACACCTTGTGCTCAGATCTTGGTTCTGATGCTGCCTGTGAAGACTGGCCTTTTGGTTTGGCTGTCTTAGCCTGGAGACCAGAAGAGAAGATATCATCTTTGAAAAGGAAAGAAAAGAAAAAAAAAAGAGTTATTTACAGGCAAAGAAAATGAATACTTTTAAGTCACACCCACAGAAACCATCAAAGACCCAATTCTGGTAACACTGTTGAGGACCAAAAAATAATATGGCAGTTAAACCTCTTAGATTCTGGTCCTTCTCAGTTACCAAGTTCCATGATCAAATACAAACCAAAGTTTTTTTTAAATACGTTTTGCAGCCACATGAAAAAGTGAAATACAGGAGGGTGACCAGATCCCTAACCTAGCATAGGACGACCTTGCCTTCTGAAACACTGAAATGATTTATATATTCTTTTCACTCTGGATTTTAAAAACCAAAGGCAGTAAGAATGTGCAAAGAGAAATCCAATACAGACTCCATTCCCAGAAAATCGAACCAATGTGAGGCATCTCAGCACTAAGAATGAAGTCTTTGTGACTGCATTCATGTTCAGTGTTTCACAGACCCTACAGTTTGCCTTTATCATCCTACTTCTCCAGCAATGGTATTGGTAGGATTGTATCATAGCATATAAGGATTTCAGCACACTTAAGGGTAGGTGTCCATAATGATAACGGCTATGACACTGTAACAGAAAACAGAACAACCTAGATTGCCATTAACAGACTAATGGCTAGCTACAAAGCAGAATTACTCAAAACACTAAAATCAAAGGAGCTTCCTATGTACTGACATGGAAAGGTATTTAAGTATTTAAAATGTGACTAAAAGGAATAGAACAGGTGAAGTAAGTCTCATTTTTTAAATTGAGCATATTTCTATGCATAAATATACATTACTAGCATGTCCTAAAGGATACAAAACAAATTGGTTAGCTCTAGAATTTTTCTCCCTTTTTATGTTTTCTAGATGGTATAACTATTAACACAAGCATGCGTTACAATTTGGGTAATGAAGGAAATAAAATCACGCATGCCTGTAAATCCAGCACCTAGCAGGATAAGGGCAGGGGAGTTTAAGGCTGGTCAGGGCTACAGCAAGACCCTGTGTCAAAAAGTGAACAAAGGGGCTGGGAGTGGTAGCGCACACCTTTGATCCCAGCACTGGGAGGCAGAGGCAAGTGATCTCTGTGAGACTGACACCAGCCTGATCCACACAGTGAGAGGCAGACAACAAAGAAGGGGGGAAAAACCCAAGTCTCTTCTATACTCTGTATGGTAGAACACATGAGGATAGTGCACAGGGCTTTCCAGGGAGACAGACCCAGAGTGGCTCTGTAACACCAGCTCTCTTCCAATCAGCCCCAGACCTCACAGACCTCACAGACCTGGGAGGGACAGAGAGAAAGAGAGAGAGAGAGTAGGAAGTCCATATTTGGCCGTAGCCTAGGGCTACCAACACAGGATCCATCCGGAGCCCAACATTTGTAGCTATCAGGTATTTGCTGGCTCTCACTACAGCTCCTTAGTTGAGTAGTGGTGGCAGCACGTTCACAAATACAAAGGAACCGGATGGCCAGTCTCACCATACACTTAGTGCTCCCGTGCACTGAGCCTCCAGGCTCTGAACTGCTGTCCCTCACTCTCTACCTGAAAATTTGAATCCACCAACTTTGTGGCACACCTAAAGCAGTCACCTCAGCTTGCTGATCAGATATGGGGGAAGTTTCCAATGAATCTTCCTTTCAAAACACCAGTGTGTATCAGAGGATGTCAGGTGAGTACAAGATAAAACAATTTCTACTTCTAGGTCAAATTCTAGGCACCTTCATAATCCCTGATATTTATCATAGCATCAGGGTGCCTCCCACGTTGACTGTCTACCTATGTATCCATCCTTGGACAAACTAGGATTCCACAGAAAAAACAAAAGGAAATCTACTGGGAAGCCATGTCCAGGAAAGGGCCAACAGGAACAACAGAAACATAAGTCCTTGCATACTAACACGATTCCTGGGGCCACTCTAGAGAGTCACACTTGCAAAGATGGAAAGAAACCCACACTTACCTGTATCATCATCAAACACTGACTTGGCTTCCACTTTCTTTTTGGACTTTTCTTTGGGCTTTACAGTTAAGTCAGCAAAGATATCAACATTATCATCAAATAAGTTGGATTCCAAAGTTCTTTCCTTCTCTCTTTTTTTATGAAGAGGTTTAATTGCTTCCGTAGCAAATATATCATCCTGGTTAAGTTAAAAAAAAAAAAAAAAAACTTTAAAATAAAATCACTTTTTAAACTAAGAATAACTTAATAACTTACAGAAATAACTTAAAGAAATGCAACTTCTAGGATACTCAGGCACAGACCTGCCCTGAGGCCTGGAACGCACCACCCCACACCTCTGCACAGCTGGTCCTTCCTCTATGTACAGTTCAAGTGCAGCTCTGCAGTAAGGCCGCGTCTCTCTGTTCTGCCTGAGGAACAGCCCCCGCTGCCTGCCACTGTGTCCCAAGTCATTTTCTTCATGGTACTTAGTATAAATTGAAATTATCTCAGTTGTCTGTTGTTCTTTTTGTATTTGATTCCCCTCGAGATCTCTAGCGAGCACAACCCTTGTCCTAGCTTTCCTTCTGGCTCCAAGACCAAAATGCTCAATAAACATCTGCCCCAACTGCCACTGAAGGCCTTGGTGTCTAAAACTCAAACCAGAAGTTCCAACCAGAACCAGAGGTTAAGCACACAAGGTGCACTGACAGGGTTTATATACGTCACAGAATAGCATACCAAGGAAGCTGGTGGGGGCAACATTCTACAAAAATCGAGAGCTAGGGTTTAAGGTATGGCTGAGTGGTATGGCATTTGCCCAGCGTGTGATATGCTCTGGGCTCTCTCCCCAGGACTGCAAAAAAAATTAAATACCAATAATAAATCAAGCCCTGTATCAAGTATTAAAGGCAGCAAGAACTGCCCCTAGATTAAACAAATAAAACTTACTTCAAGGAAAGATTTATTAACAGGAGATCCCAATTATGCTTACTAAGCAAGGAGGTACCAGGCATGTACAAAACAAGCTTATCAGAATCTATGGTTTGAAGAAGATCATCCGCTTATTCTCCTT